TCAAAATGGAATTGATAGAAACTGCAAAACACAGCTTTTACAGCATACCTCTAACACTTTCTCCTCCCCTTATCCTGATAGACAAACTCCTTGAGATGCCCTACTCGAATAAGGCGCTCAATCCCGTCCTTGAGATGCCGACAACCCTCAGTAGTGTGACCATAGTCTTTGTGGAAGCGGCAATATTTCCTCGACTTCGGTTGGGTGGGCCCTTCGAACCTCGACCTGGGCCACGTCACGTCTTTCCCATCTATCCCTTTCTCCATAGCCATCAGAACCTCGGCTATCTTTGCGTTCAACGGGGTGTAATCATGGAATCTTTTCCCTCCAGAAATGTGTTCGTCCTTCCACCTATCCTCTCGCCCTCGGTCTTGTCTAGCTCGCCCCTCCCTCCTGGGCGAGGCTATTCTTTTGGGAGAGACTGTTTTCTCCTTCCCCGACTCCCCTCGACCTAACTCCTCCAGCTTGGCAAACTCCGCCTCAGTCTCCTCGAGATTGATATATTTCCTGCATCTCTTCAATACTTCATCATACGTGTGAGCAGGGGTCTTAGCTAGAGAAGTCCGACACGGTCCTGCCTGCAAACTCCTTATCAGTCCTCCCGCCTTGACCTCGTCAACCGCTGATGGAATCTCCAAACGGGCCTGATTATATCGAGCAACATACTTGCGCAGTGACTCTTTCTCGCTCTGTCTCATTGCCATCAATGTCAAATACGTTTTTTCCTGAGCCACCGCGCTCGAATATTGATTTGTCAACTTCTCCGCAAAATCCCCAAAGTCCACTATCGAGCCTGGAGGGAGCTGTTGGAACCAGTCGAGCGCCCCTCCCCTAAGGGTCGATAAAAAAGCCCTGCAACTAACGGTATCAGTATATCCATGCAACACAGCCACATTTTCAAACGTCCTTACGTGTCTCGACGGATCAGAGGTCCCATCGAACACCAAGTTAGTATCCTTGTAATTATTTGGCAAAGGCGCTGCCAGTATGTCTGCCGAGAAGGGATGTCCTCGAGCCCGCCTCTCCGCTCGACCATCCACTTTAGCCTGCAATTGGCGCAGCTGTTTCGCCATCCTCTCCAACTCCCGGTCGTGCGTGGGCCTGCCATCACCATAACTGGACTCATCCTCCTCCGCGTTTTGTCGTGACCCTGCAACAGTATTCGGCGCAGTCGTAGCCCGAGAGAGACTATTTGTAACTTGTTGAACCGCCTGGGCAGCTGCCTCCGCCACCATTTGTTGATCTCCTGCCTGGTCATTACCACCGGTTGGTCGGGGACCTGAACCGCTGCTCGCGGCGGTGCTCCTCCTTGGACCGCCGCTCCTCCCTGTTGTTCCCCTGTTCCTCCTGGTTGCACTGCTGCTAAATTTTATGGTGGTGGTGGTGGTGGCATCGCCGCCGCGTCCGCTGCGCGAGCCTCTTGGGCACGGTTGGGGCTGATATTTCCTCCAGGAATCGCTGTTGCCGCTCCTACACCTTGGAGCACCGGTGCGGGGGTAATCGGCATCTGCGATGGGCCCGAAAAACCAGGAGGAGGACCTTGCCCCAACGGCCTGGTCGTCGTCCAAGCATCATCGAACGTTGACTGTAAGGTTTTGGGAATTCCGTCCGCCATAGCTGAGCTTCAAGCACACCTTTTGAAACGAAAGTCCCCACAGACGGCGCCAAATGGTAACACAAAACTTTCCGACCGGCTGGAACTTGAGTAATCGCCTTCCTTCTCGCCGGTTGAACGTCGTGCACCTACAAAGAACTCCCACACCGGAGGGGTTTTCCGGTGAAGAGCCTCCGAAGCTTAAGTCAGTGTGTACTCAATCAATTCTCAAGAGTAATAGAATGATCGTGTGTGAAGAAGAAAGGCTCACCCCCTTTATATAGGGGTTAGATACCTGACCTAAGGCTGCCCGGATTTGATGAGCTGTCTGCCCTAACTGGCCGTCCGTACACACCAAACGCGTGTGTCAGAGGTAACCGTCGCCACTATCGCCTGCACCAATCATCTTTGGACGCGTGTCCTCCTGCACATGGGATATGCTGTCAGAGGTGGTTATCGCTACCCACCACTACCTTCTCGACACGTGTCCCCCTGTACATGGGGTAAATATTCCCTTGGAATTCTGTCAGAGGCTTCCTTCACGCGCCTATGACTAGGCCGAACAACGTGGTGTTGAGTCCTCGAGGTAATCGACCTGTCGAGGTCGAATAGGTTGCTCGATCGTGTATCTGGTCGAAGGATAGTTTGGTCGACAGCCTTGCTTGGTCGACTAGTTGACTAAATTTCTTTGGCTTCCTCATAGTACGACCTCCTCGACCGGTCAACAGACCGGTTCAGCCTTGTGGATATAATATCCCATATCAATTGGGCATAAGCGCACAATTAGCGCCTAAGTCGCGCTTAGCGCGCCTAATAACCGGGAGTTTGGCTCTCCAAATAATTCACGTGCAATGTCATCATTACTAAAGCCACACGGAGGCCTGAGAGAGCTGGACACAATAACTAAGCAATTGGAGAGGTGAGTAAGCATCCCAAGTGCCACTCTTGTGCATTAGGCACACGACACTTGACATGCGCCCATTGGCCGAGTCTTTCACCAAATTTTCCTAACGTTTACCGTGCTTATATATCAGTATTTTGAAGGGATTTGTAGTGCATTATTTAAGCTACCAAGTTAAGCAAGCACTAAGCTAAATTAACCATAATCACTCGTACTTAAGATCACACACGTACGCACACGGACACGGAGCCAAGATTCACGTCTGATCTTTCGATTTCAGCCGACCGATTAAGGAGGTAACCTCATTCTCTACTTCTTTTCATGTTAATGAGTTCATATCAAGATGAATTATTCAGCTCATGTAGTATAAATCCACGAATAAGTCATGTTATAATCAGTTTAGGCTAAATTAAGCCATGACCGAATGAAAATCAGTTCTATCCGGCAACTCTCGTGAAATTCATGTTTATTTGGTCATTTTAGATCAATTTATACTCAGTCAATTCATGTTGGTCGAGACAAATTAATTTATTGTTCAAGAATGGGCTTAAGGAAGTGGATCGCACACGTAGTGCATGCCCACGGGCTGTCCTATGTTACATCGAGTTATCTTCCTTTATGATCAGTTTTATTCGAGTAATTCATGTCTCATTTGATATTAAATGAAGTAGTATTCGGTAAATTCTCAATATTGTTCGGCAAAATTTCATGTTTACTCAAAGTCTTGGCCTAAAGCCGAGAGCGTGCGCGTGGTGCGTACCCTTTAGAATAATTCAATGTTCTTCGATCAAAATCCATAATTTCTATAAAGAGTCAGTATATTTAATCATGTTAGGTTGTATCACGTTAATTCATGTTGTAGTTGCCAGAAAAATGCGCCGGACGGCCGATAAGGATCGGCCGTATTCACGTTGTCCGCACCTCGCAATCACCGCGTACCGACAGTGAACAGGGTTGCGTGGTACAGTGTCGTGTGTGAACGGTACCCCCAGCAAGTAACCGTGGGCGATGCTCAGGCGCACCCCATGTCCAGTCATGTACGCCAGCGTGCGATATCGCGTAACAGCGACCTCGACAGCGCTCAATAGGCCGCCCTGTGTGGCCAGCAAGGTAGGGATCGCATGGCAGCGCCCCGCATCGTTTCAGTCATGTTGTCCAGCGCCGTGGTGCGCACCTGTCAGTCCCCAGCAGCACGTCGCGGTGCATGGCAGCACCCGAACGGTGCCCAGTCAGGTGCCAGCCGACGCACTTAGAGTACGGCA